GAAAGGCAATGGTCGTGCCTTTGGCCAGGTGACGGTGTTCTTGGCTGAAATTTGTTAGCAGCACTGGGCCCTGTCCATTCCGGAAGTCCGCAATGCCTCTTGCGATTGCGATATCACGGCCAAGCAAAAGCTTTATGTTACCTTCGACGACACCATGGGCATTTTCGGCAGTACCAGTGGTTATGGTGATTAGGGTGGTTGATCGGTGTGGGACGCTCACGTCGTTCTCGAGCACATGAAGGGCTGCGCGATTATGTGGTGCCGAGTATGAATTTATGGAGTCAATGAGGGTGGCGATTTGGGCTTGTTGGTATGGTTGCATGATGATGGATGGTAGCGCAGACAACGAACACGGACAAGAGAAGGCACATAGACACAACACTGTGTCTATGTGCCTTCTCTTGTCCGTGTTCGTTGTCTGCGCTACCATCCATCATCATGAATTTATGGCTCATCCGAGGAAAGTTTGATGGATCTGGATGCCAGGTCGATAACCGCGTGATGTTGAGTCAGGAAGTTCATGCCGAGAATGACGTCACGGGAGCACTGTGGGAGCACAAAGAAAGTCGCAAGGTATGTGTGACCATCGAATGTCACCCTTGCAGTACATCGCAGCGATGGGGTGAGGAGGTGGCCTCCCGCTGTGCGGATCTGCGGGCCGTCCCAAGCCGTCTTAACCTTCTTCAGTTGTGCTGTCAATGGCCCGCTGATGAACGTGTAGCCAGCCCCTGTGTCAATCAAGGCAGTTACCGGGTGGCCATCGATAGATACTTCAAAATCGGTGACACGTGGGCTGGAGTTGCGCGTTGGTTTTGGGTTCGGGTCACGACTTTGTCTTGTTGCTTCGTTTTGCTTCGTCTAGAGGCTTGGGTTGTTGTGCGTTGTCGTCGTCGTAGATGATGTGCTGTCGTCATATATGGTCGTCGGTGGAGGGTCTTCAGCTTTTCCTCTTGAAGCAACCTCACCTCCAAAGGTTGCTGGTTTTAGTTTCCCCTACGGGGGGTTGGGGACCTTCTTCGTTCGTTGTCACTGCGGTTCGGTGACGCGAAGCGTGGAGATGGCGGTGATGGAGAACGGCTGGACAAGTACTCTGTATGGCGCAAGTAGTCTTCGATTGCCGCAGGTCGTTGTCCAGGGCGTGGCCGTGGTGCCCGAGATGAGAAGCAATGCAGCCCCATCCGCCTGTAGGGGCAGTGTCGAAGAATGGGGCCGGCCTCACCGCAGTGAAAACATAGGGGACGGTCATCGGGAGTTCTCCAGGTGTCGCATTTTCTTGGGCTCGGGCGTCTCTCGTATAGAGGTTGGGCGGGGAAGGGCGGACGGCTACTTGGGGCTGCAGGGTACCGTCGAGGACTGGGCTCGTTTCGTCGGGGTGGCCTAGTGCTCACTGCAGCGGCGTAAGTCATTGCTTCGGCCTTCTGTTCCAGTCGTCGCTGATGAAGAGCCGAGCGGCTGCTGGACTTATCACGCACTATGTCAAGAGAGATGCTGCTTTGAGGGAGCTGGGGGGGGGGAGAAGGGAGTAATCGACGTAGTTCTTTAACCACTTCTCGAATAGCTTCCCGCAGATTGTTGGTGGTTAGCCCACCTCGGATCGGTTCCGAGTAGAGCGAGCTGAGCTGAAACGGGTGGTTGTATTGCCGAGTCCCGGCGTCCAGGGTCCTTTCTATGGTGTGCGCTTCTTCAGTAAATTCGGCGACTGTTTCAGGGGGGTTTCTTATAAAGGCCGGCGAAAAGCGACTCCTTCACACCTCGCATTAGGTATCCGACCTTTCTGTCTTCGTCATGCCTTGGTCCGCTCGCCGAAGAAGACGTTTCATTTCTTCGACGTACACGTTTAGGGTCTCATTCGGCTGTTGGGTCCTCGATTCTAGCAGCAGCTGGACCCTTTCTTTTCGCATGATGCTGGTGAAGGTCTTGAGCACCTCATTCTTCAGAAATTCCCAGATGGTCAGTGTGGTCTCATGGTTTTCATACCACGTTTTCGCGGGGCCGTCCAGGGAAAAGTAAACGTATTGCAGCTTCATTCCTCATCCCACCTCTTTATGGTAGCCTACGAGCTCGAATCGGTAGAGCCATTTTTCTGGGTCTTCAGCGGCATAACCATGGAAAGTTGGAGGCACCCGCGGCTGCTGCACAATGACAGGGGTGGGTGATTGCGGGTTGCTCATGGTGGCTGTGGAAGCGTCCTTTCGTGGTCGCGTGGGGTCTGGTAGCAGTGCAAGCTCAGGTGGCAGGTTTCGGAGGCAGGCGGCTGCTTCGAGTATCCATGTCTTCAGCGTTCTCGTTCTCTGCAGTGGCTGTTTTAAGGTGGTTCTTGTGCATACCCAGCACCTCCACCAGACGTCACGTAAGAGTGAGGGTAGCCCGAAGACAGGAGACCGGGAGGCTCGTAGAAATAGAAGGGAATCCAGTTTATTTGGCGGACTTGCGCCCACTAAAGAAAATATACACATCGGCTTAGCGGGTGGCGGACAGCGTGTTCGACGGCCGTCGGGGAACAGAATGCCCCACTGGAGTGCAAGGCACGTTCACCATCCGAGATACAGTCGTAGTAGAATCTGGGGTTATCTCGTAATCAACGAATGGTTGACGTGCGGGCCATGATCTTCGCAGATCAATGGCGGTGCATCCTGGACCACGATAAGGCCGCGTGCCGGCGGTATCGGCATGCGTAACACTATCCGCAATACGCTTCGCGGCAGTATTCTTTTACTTTCTTTATGAAACCCTATGATAGCAGTTGTTCCCCTGTAGATTTCTTCCAGGATGTTTATACATGCTTCGTCGACGCCCTGATTTTGTGGTTTCTGCATGACTGCTGATATCGAAGGTGTAACGGTGCCTTTTATAACGCTCATTTAAATGGCCTATTAGATAGTCCAGAAATGCTAGAAATACCGAAATCCTAAAGTGATCTTCAACGCTAGCTACTGGCACGTTACTTAGATGAAGCTGCGTACCTGTGACACGCGGCATTCTAATTTAAACATGTGCGTCCTCGGCAGACAGGGGCGTCGTCTCCTGCATCTGGAGCACTGCAGCCTCAACGTCGTCGACATTCATGAAGGTGGCGGCAAGGTCTAGAGAGCTAGACTGAAGCAATATCGAAAGCGGAAGCGTTATACAGAGAACTTTTCTGTTATAGAGAACAGAACGACGAAAGCTGCGAAAAAAAAAAAGGGATGCCCGGCTTGTGCGGAACGCGCGCGGCACATTCACAGCGAGAGCTGGAACAGCGGCCTTTCAGGGCATTTTCTAAACACTCTTAGGGATGCCACAGGCACACTGCTGGCTACCCACTGCGTCATAATTAATCATAAATTTTGTCGCCTAAGAAATATTGGCTGATACCCACAAGGGGGATTGGCCACACTGTACCTTATGACGGAAAATTTAATACGGGGCTTGTTAAAACAGAGAGGAATCACATAAGCACGAGATGAATAATAATGTAATAATGTACGATAAAAAAAGAAAATGAACATGGCGAAAAAATTCGAAATTTTGTGTAGTAGGCCAGCATTCACTACGCTGTCCTTCGTCATTCTTTGGATAAGCGTGGTATTCGCTACACTCTTGTTGGAAATTTCGTGCAATTTCTTTATGCAGTGACTGACTACGATGAAGAAATATGCGTTAAGTGGGCATGCGCCACAGTTGATCGGTGATCACTGATAAAAAAAAAAGTTTTCTAGTGGGTTGGAGCATTGGACGACCCCGTCGTTACGCAATTTGCATTGCGTGACGCCTGGCTGTTCCTTTGATGTTTTAAAACGATTTATTGCTCATATTAACGCGATTCGTTTCCCGACATCAAGTCTGTCTAAGGCCAGTTTAGGAACGAGTTCCAAGCCCTATTGCGGCTCAGTGGTGGAATACTGGGCTAGCACGCAGTGGACCCGGGTTCGAATAACATTTTGCCATTGGTGTTCTTTATTTACTGAGTTTCAAGCACTGGCATAGCTCAGTGGTAAAAGTGGTAAAATGCCGAGTTTTTTTTTTTTTTCATTCGATGCTGGTTACGGGCATCGGTGGTGGCGGACAACTACGGCACCGCGCGTGACCCGTGTTCGGATCTCATAATAGCTTTCACTGTAAAAAAAAAAGAGGACATGTGTTTAGAAAAAAAAAAAAATGCTCGATGATGCAGAGAACGATGTAGTCTACCATAGCGCGTTTTTGCGCGTATTAACGTTTTCCAGCGCATATACGCAGCGAATAAGCCATTTCTATGTGAGTTGGTATAGCCTAGTCCCAGGTGCATGTTCGATTCAGACTAAGTGAACGTTTCTTAACAATGATTACATAATTGCTATCGCAGATTGCACGAGAAAACCTCTACGATTGGAGTACTTCATTGCTATCAAAAGTCGCAGTGCATTTGTAATGTGAACCAGGGTTGCGAGAAAGCCTGCCCGAAAAATAATGCGTGCGAAATCGTGATGCCAACGCGCAGCATAACTTACAAAAAAAAAAATACTTATTGCGTATCGCAAGCATGCTTCAATGCGCGCAGTAAAGTAAAAAAAAAAACACAAAGTTAATCCCCCAAAGTGGGCACGTGCCATGTATCTAGGGAAGCAAAGCAAAGCAAAGCTATCACTTCGTCAGGGCTGCTTAACAAGTATAGTTTAACATAAAGATCCCTCCCATAGGCATACAGACATGGACAGTAAGAAATTCGCTCAGCAAAGTTAGCAAAACGAAAGTGTAGTTATAAATGTACACCTCTCATTTCACATTGTAAACGGAGCCATCCTCGACTTGTGATACACACTTCGCCCAGATGAGTACTGCGCTATCTACGCTTAACAGATATTAACGAATAATGATGTATTGTACGATTGGGCGGGTCGTCGCGATGATTTAATGGTCATTTAAATGGCGCGCTGATCGCGCCGAGCAGCAATCGTCAGCTCAGCGGCGGCGGCGCACCGATCAGTCGGCGGCGGCGCGCCGAGGCGCACACTCTGAGCTCCACTGGCCTTTCTGTGACTGGCCTTCGAGAGTTTCCTCTCGCACCTTGGAGGTCATGCTTAGCCATGTCCCTCTAGTAGCCTTCGCCACTACGTCTTTTTACTTTACATTTGGCTCTCAGCATGCGAGTTATGGCTTTGTGTGTGCTTTAAGGATCAGTGTTTACTTTTGGAATCAGAGAACACACCTTGGCTGCCATCGTCTGAGCGCGCCGTCGCAATGTGATCAACGCGTGACGATAGTTATAGCGCGACAATAAAACGACACAGAGACAAGAAGGACACGAGGGCTGCCATACCAACTAGCCCAAACTGCCACACTTCTAAGTGATCAATGCGATCCAGCGCTTCGATCCATTTCAAGTCATTCCACAAAGTGAGCCACGCCATGTCTTAACAAGTTAACAATGCCTTAGCACTCTAGTAATGCCGTTGAATGTTAACAGTCCTCGTGGTTCAGCCACGAGAAAGCGTTTAACAACAGATGCGTTAGTTCGTGCCGTTAAGGAGTTTCCCTGCCTCTACCACCGCGGACACCCGTACTTCAAGAATACCCCCCTCAAGCGGGAGTGCTGGAAGAAAATCGGTGCCAACTTCGGCGTCAGCGGTAAGTGTTCTAAGTGCCTGTGGCAGTGTTCGCGGTGATCGTTAAAACATGCATTCTCGGTTTCGTTCCGGCGGAGACCAGGCGGTTCGCGCTCTCAAGCTGTTGGCGTACCGCAGTTCGAAGGTCGCCGGTGTGCTCGGGAGGCGGGGAGCCCTGAATCGCGTGCGCGATCAACACTTGTCAAATTAGAGATGTCGCTGGAGCCGACGTCTCTTTCGACGAGTGCACTCCACAAGGTGGGGCAAGTAGCGCTCGTGTCGTACCATAATCTTCTTTTGTTCGCGCTTTAATTGAGCTGACGGGCCCAGTGCTTAGTCCCCGATTCTTGATCAGATGGTCGAATTCGTGTGCATTTGGGGCGGATAAACTTGAGCCAATTTATCTTTGTGTGAAAATCGGGCAAGAACGAGCGTTGATTAGCAACTGCAGGTTGTTATTAGCGAAAACAGGCGGAATAATATGCATAAACGAAGCAACCCCAGTTATCGATCTCAACTTCTCATCGTCATGGCAACAACACCCCCTCACCACTCTCATTATAGGAATATTTGGTAGTTATGCTTAATTACTCAGCTCTTTTGATTATGTATTAAGGCCGCTGTACTTGCCTGAAAAAGGTCCCCTTGTCTCTTTGCTGGCTCCGACGACATTCTCTGGCTGGCGTTGATCGGGTCTCCATGCGCCCGCGATCGTCTGTATTCTATGCATATGCCTAGAGGTTTGACTTTGCTGTCTACCAATCAGTACCTGTGCAGCACAAACACGTCCAAGACAATTCAGGACATCATACATAACTAGCGGAAGTCATCCTCTAGTTGTCTCCCATTACAGATCAGCAAGTTTATATTTTAAGAAGTGCTTATGAAGTTCGGCCTTGATCAATTTGCATCTATCGATCAACTACAAAGGGTATCCAACTACCAAGGTATCCATGCTAAAATTTATTGTGTGATTTCTTGAAACTGTACTTTTTATGTTCTCACATTTTGCTACCCTCAGCTGCTAGTTGCAGCAAGTTTATATTTTAAGAAGTGCTTATGAAGTTTGGCCTTGATCAATTTGCATCTATCGGTCAACTACAAAGATATCCAACTACCAAGGTATCCATGCTAAAATTTAATGTGTGATTTCTTGAAACTGTACTTTTTATGTTCTCACATTTTGCTACCCTCAGCTGCTAGTTGCTAGCTTCCTGGTTCTTTCAGTTGTGAGAGTGATACCCCTGCCGCACGGCACGTGTATTGTTATTCGGAGTGAATGACATCCATAACGAATGTCATTGCGATCTTGCGTTCTGAGTCTACACGGTCATGTAAAATGACATTCACAATCAATGTCACTGTTTATCGGCAGGCTGCTATAATACCAAGAAGTTGGCGCATTTTTTTTTTACATAACATTGTCCAGCTGGTTCAATGTACTGCGAGGCGGTCATACGGCATCAGTAGAAATAAAAATCCTCGTACACATTTGAAGAAAGACTAGTTTAAAGCGCTCACAACTTTAAGTCGGCAATATTTGGAACCGTGACAGCATTCATGAATTTGTCCTCGTGATGAATGATGATCAGTGCAAGCGAATGTTAATTGTTCTCAAGCTGCTGCGAATGAAGCATCAGAACCGACTGAAGCACCTGAAGCTTGCCATTGAAAAAAGACCACCGACGACACGTGGTTTGGAGCCGCGCTTACACGCCGATTCGTTTACGTTGGGCGTCGACTTCGTCGGCAATACACAGATAACTGTGGGGCTTCCCAAGAAAGGAGAACTTATTTGAAAGCACTCTTCCGAAACTGGTGTTCCACACTTGCTTGTGTATTCCCCTACTAGCGAGTCTAATGCGGCAACGCTGCACCAAAACAATAGTGAGCTTTTTTAAATACGGCCGACAGGAAGCGCCATAGGGAACCAAAGTTCAAGTTTGCGGAGCGACAATGCCGCGCCTGGCCCTGGCGGTGAGCTCCAAAACTCTTGAGGAGTGTCGCGAGAGAGGTCGCAGACGAGTCGGTGTGTTTTGCTGAAACGGGAGCGTGTGCGACACGCGTGCAACGCGTTCTGCAGTTCTGGAACTTAGGCACAGTGCCGTCAGCTCGGCGCGCTAAAACGAAACGCTCGCTGTGTGAAGTCGCCTTTCCACGATGGAAGAAGCGGCCCTATGTAAGCGTCGGCGAAGTCCGCAGTATTGTTGTATTGCAGGCTGCCACAGCAATGCAGACAACACCAAAGGACGCTCTCCCCGTGTAAAGCTATATCAGTTTGCCAGAAAGTGAGAGCCGGTGAACACAGCCGCGTTCGCGAGAGATAGAGCAAGCATGATACTAGAGCCGAAAACAAACAAACCAACAAACAAAAAAAACGAGGCGAGCACTTCAACTTGACTCTTTGTGGTTAAACTTCAGCTTGCTGCTTCGCGGCGACATTAACAGGCTATGCGCCCTCCACACGGAGGTCATGATTCTAAAATTTCTCAGACATTTTAATGCCATGACGTTATAGCTTGCACACCGCAAACGTTTGCTCATGACAGTATGTGGCTGCTATCGCTAGATACCACATCAAAACAACAATTATATGGTTTCCATAAATGTTAACAGAGCACATACATAGAGTACGCGGCTTCATGTCGGCAGAATGAGACCTTCCTCGAGGCATACAAAGAACACGGTTTTATCACGGAGGACCTGAGAAATATATTTCGCAGTGACTCGGCTGTCCTAGCCTTCTGTAATTTGCTCCAAATCATAAACTTGACTAACCAGCTTTACTACTTTAGTTAGATTCGCTTCTCGGAAGTGCTTGTCCAGCTGAGAGATCTTCATGAAGCCACACTGCAGGCGGTACATTGGGAGGTGACTCAAATGCATCGCGCGCTCTCTGCACGAGCACGTAAACCAGTGGCAGCACCTTGGAGGGAAGGGAAAACGCGTGCTGTACATCCCTGGTTTCTACTTTTCTACCAAAGATGGCCTTCACTGTTCAGAGTCTCAGCGCAACCATGGGTTGCTTTGGCTTCCTATAGCATCAAATCGGAGTCTGGGAAAGATAATATAGGCGTACAAATTGCTTCTACTATCATATTGTACATTTAAAAATTACCGAAAAGTTAACAACAATCTTTAATAAGCATTTGAACATCACTTGCTTTAAGGTGTCGATTTTGTTATTTCTTGCCAAGGCCCTGTTGACGATATTACACATGCCGCGCTTCCATGAGTTTGGTGAACACATTCAACGGGCAAATGTCATTAGGTGTGAGTGCCATTCACTGTGCTCGTGTAGCAGCCACAAAAATGACAATAACACTTGTCATTTGCAGTGAATGACACTACAGGTGCCGTGTGTCAGGGGGTATGACTGACCAGAAAATCATTGGTCCTAGGCAGGCAGAATTTTTCTGTTTATTTAAGGCTAAGGCAGGGGGAGGGGGGGGGTGCAGATCATTTTGATGTGAAGTTGGGGCCGGGGAGGCAGATGATTTTAAGTGTAATTTTATGCTTTGTGCAACATGGCGAAAAAATTTTAGGTAGTTGATGCACGGGCCCGATGTGCCACCACTTGGCTGCGCGACTGGTCCAGGCTTTGGTCCAAAACGGGCATCTTTTCAGGCAAGTTCGTGCTTAAACTGACTAGGTACACTTGACTTGAGTGCAAAATATGTTTTATGAAAAAGGCATGCAAAGTAAGAGTGGACACCATGAGGTCAATGCTTTGCTTTTTTCTTTCGGACCTTTTTTTTTTCTAGTGAAATGTATATTGCATTGCAGTCAAGTGGCTTGGGTACCCAGGCCAATGGCAGATTTTTCCTCAGCTAAGAAGCCTTCCTCTGAGAAATTTGTGTGGCTTTTCTTGTAGCTCTGAGCTACGTATGTGGGGCTGTCAGCTTTTCCTTCAGGCACCTTGAAGTATTTTGCTGAACTGGTAGGCAGATTCAAAGTGTGCGTAACACTGACACATTTAGATTTCCAACTTAGTTCAGCTCGATTGAGATGCCTACCTTGGGATCCCATCATTCGAGAATAAGCATGTTGTCAGGGGGGTTCATGCATCATCGTGTCATAACAGGTTTTATATGACATGGCTATTGTGGGATTTCCGTGTTTAAAAAGAAGTTAGAAGTGTGAAGAAAAATCTGCATTTTATATCGCCTCAGTATGGTATGCCTTACACAGAGTTGACAAGAAAAGGTTTAAAGGGACAGTAAACAACCCCAAGGTCCGAAAGTTGTCATAAAGCGAAATATGTTCATTTTTACTTCGTGAACGTGCTGCCACAAGAATTTTGTGAATGTGTGCTATATTAAGGAAGTTACAGGGATTAGAACATCGGTTGCAGCTGGTTTCAAATTTTCGCGCGGCCTCACCACTCACCCCCTCACATGGAGGGGAAGGCGTAGCTTGTTGTCATGACTCCGCCAGCTTTGGCAATGTGATATGCCAGCAATTGACATCATCGGTCAACTCGAATCAGTGGCAATGCACTTACGTTTGCTGCAATGCATGTTTGTTTACTGTTTACTCGGTGTCGATGCTTCTCCGCAGCCCAATCACTCGATTTGCAGCCGACAACGGAGCAACGCTTTTTCCCTATGTTGCTCATGTCGAAGGCGAAGCACGTGTGTGCAGGCCTCATGCTGAGTTGTGGATGAGCAAAGAATGTACGCACGACAATTGTGAGGCTAAAACTGCATTATCGCAGTGCCAAGAAACAAGGGGAAGTTTCGTAGCTGCAGAGTTATTCAATTATACAAGTTCCCAGAGCGACAACACAAATAGTGCCTTTAATAGAGGGTCTGCTGACCAACAGGTGGTGTAACAATTTGCTTACTCACGAAAACTGGGCCAGTGACGTATCCGGATTTCAATACATGGAGCTTATGGGGAGTCTTGCAACTAGTATGATTGAATAACTCTTTTGTAGCTGTGGGTGGGGATAGGAACTGTCGGTGACGTCATTACTGTTAGTTGAGACCTAGTGTAGACCAATCGACGAGCTGTGTGCTGCATAATTGCACTTGGAAAGAGCAATTGTGAGATGTAAAAAAGGAGTGCGGGAATCGTTTTTTTAAATGGAGGCTGTGCAACGTGCAGCTCTGTTATTTTAGAACATGTGATCACTGCGTCTTACTCTACGAATTGCCGAGCTTGTTTGGAGGGTGTAAAAAAAGAGTCTGAGCCTGTTCACTGGCCCTTTAAAAGGACTGTCTACCGCTTGGAAGAATTTTTCTGATTGTGGTGCAAATGAGATCATTCATCACACAGCGGCAACGAGTATGATTTTGTCCCATAATAAAGGAATTGTAGCTTCAACATTATGTTGAAAGTAAAAAAGAATGGCCGCTAGTGTCACCCAACAGCGATGTGGTCGATCCACTGGTAGGGCGAGGAATCCCGGCAGGTTGACTCTTTTGTTTAAAAACAAACATATATAACCTTAAATCGTATTTTACACAATTAAAGCAGCTTGCACGAGAGACAAATTTTGGGGTTTTTTATCCTGCATATTTAAAGAGGTGGTGCTGCTGGCTGTGTGTTCACTTGCCTGCATGCCTGTCTGTCAATGCGGCATCCGCCGCCACTCATAAAAACAACAAAAAAGTGTGTGCGTACTTAAAGGACCACTAATGTATTTCTTTTATTAATAAACAAAACTTGATGGAGGCTACAAAAACTGCATGCGGTCTCACTTTTTAGCTTTCACCAGAAGTACAATTGTCATCACATCCATACACCAGTGTTGCGGGCATTCATTCTATTGATGCAAGGAGACTGAACACAGATAAAAAAATTCTGTTTTAAAATTTTCTACATTTTCCAGAGTAACATTTACAAGGTTACACACTACAAAGGGTACACTTTTTATTGTGACACAAAACAGAAAAGTAGTGAAAGACGGTAGACAGTCCCTTTAACACCATCATGAGCTTTGGTGGGAGCCAATACGGGAAAGAAATAAGAAAGGGTTAGCTATTTCCACATCACGGAGCTCCAAGTTGAATTGAGCAGAATGTGGGAAAGTAAACTTGCTTAAACTTCTACTTTTGGGCTAGTTGATTAGTCATTATGGTAGGCGGCAGTGCACACTAGGTGAAACAATAAAAGGAACAACATTCAGCACTTGTGTTGTCGCTTTGTGCTTTTGTTCATTGTTTCATCTGGTGTACAATTAGATAATCGATTTTGCCCTGTAGATTTTTTATTTCCAGTTGCTGCATAGTTGGTCAATACCTGCATACTGATGGTGCATCACGGCAATCGGAAGTTAGTCATTAGTGAAGTTGATAATAGTTTGCTGTGAAACAAATTGCTGATTTAGGATGAGAGACAACTAGAGGATGCTTTCAGCTGCCTGTACTTCTTGTCTTGTATTGCCTTGACCTCGTTTGTGTAAAACGTGTACTGATTTGTGAGGTTGAAAGACTGTCCTGTTTTTCATAGTCTTGTCTTCTGAAATGATTATAGAAGCTGCAAAAAATGAGACTCGTGAAATGTAGATGCACGTATATGTCATTATTACAACAGTGAAATTGATGTATTTTAGCCCAGCAATGAATGAGGGGAGTTGGTGGTTGTGCATGTTTTCCTCTTGCACTATGTACTACGAGACGGGGATGAGACTAAAACGCATCAAGAGAAGTGGTGCGCAAACTCGCAACTGTTTTGAGTTCACAGTTGTTAGTTTGCACACCACTTTCTTGTGGTCTCTGTCTCGTGCCCGTCTGCTACTAAATAAATATACACGAGATTTATATAGATGTGAGCACAAGTGTGTTTTTGAATACCTGAAGTTGAACATGGGGGTGTCTTGGCCAGGGTCCGTGTGTCAGTCCAAGTTCAAGAATGCAAAGGACACCTACAAGAGAGCCAAGGATGCCATGCGTAAAGCCATGCTACGGCAGCATGACGCCAAGCACCAACGCAGGCCTTTGCAAATTTGGCAGCATTTCGATGTCATGCAGGAGCTCTTGGACTCGGCACCTGCTCCATCTGAGTAAGTGTCGTTCTGAAGAGAGAGTGCTCAAGCATGTGGCTATATAAACTGCTTTTATTCTCTCAGATCGATGAAACGTCAGACTCAGTACATTGTGTAGTATTGCGATTCTCTTGCAAATGCTGCAGTGAAGAGAAACACAACCTTTGGTATGAATAGCCTCACGGATTGCTGGAACAGTGTGAAAATGCATTGCCTTTCAGTTATCACTGATAGTTGAATTCAACTTTGTCAGACAGGAGTGGCTCTGCGCAGATGATGAAAGCATAGCAGCTGATTATCTCCATGTCTAATGAAATAGTCCTGCTGATGTTCTATTTTACCCTGAATAATCTTACTCTGCTTAAGTACTATGCCTGAAAATTTCTATCAGCTCTCTATCAGCTTGTCAGCATAGACATTTTGTGGGAAACTCTATGGTTGCAGGCAGCCTTTATTGAAGCCGTTGTCATCCAGCGGCATTGGCGTAGTGTCTTACATCTTTCCAGTGTCCGTCAGGCTCGGCCCTATGAAAGGGGTATGTCATTATCACGGAAACACGTGTATGTCATTTTGATTTTTGCAAAGTCAAACTCTTCAGATGTATACAATCCTTCAATCCTTATTCTGTTATTGCAAAATATTGCAACAATATGTTTATAAAAATGAATTTCTTTTACATTTTCTTTGCAACGTGTTCATATGGCTCACATATACCGTATTTACTCGATTCTACCGCGCCCTCGATTGTAACGCGCACCCGATTTCCACCGCGAAAAAAAAAAAAAAGCAAAACATCGATTGAAACGCGCACCCATTTTTCTCGCTGGCCCGCACGATCACACCACTCGAAAAAACGACTCCTTTCGGGAGCGTCTTCCATTTAAATATGAGGTACGGGCGAAGCTTGTGCCCATCTGACGTGTAACAGAGCATTGCCGTCACTGTAGTTTTACCGTGGACCGATGTCAGCACGCGAACATGCTTCACCCCGTCCCTCTCGACGGTTGTGGTGCCAGGCATGTCGAAGTAAAGACGCGTCTGACCAGCATTCCCGATTTGCCTAAGCATGTAGCCGTTGTTGCGCCGCAAGTTTAGGACGAACCTCTGAAAACTGCGAAGCTTTTCATCGTACTCCACTGCAAAACTTTTCGCATATGCATGTTCCCTTTCGGAGGGAAAAGCCTTACTTCTTCATAAAGTTAGTTAGCCAGCACCTGCTCGCTTTAAACTGGCTCCGCATTAGACCTTTTTCTAAGACTAATTGCATAGCCCACACTTGGAGCAGTTCTGTCGTCACGGGCCGCTGTGCCGCTCGCTGCTCAAGCACATACTCGCCGAGCAGCTCTTTATTTGCGGAAACCGACCTTGCTGTGGTCCACTGAAGCCTTTGCGTGAAGCTTTGCTGTCGACAATCTTCTGCTTTTGTTTCCGCCGGTCCCGCACGCACGTTTCGGGAACTCCGAACGACCGCGATGCGGCCCGATTTCCGTCCGTTTCTGCACACGCGATGACTTTTCTTTTAAAAGCGGCATCGTGGTGCACTCGAGTTTTTGGAGTCGGCCCTTCCACGCCGTCGATGCTAATGCACTACTAGATGACGAACTCCTCAGCACACGTACGAAGTGCCGCACATGGGAAACACATAGGCAGAAATGGCCGACGCGCCATGCCGACGCACGTAGGGGGCGGCCATTTTGGATTTGCCGATGGCAATAGATTGACCGCAATTTTTTCGTTCGTACTCGATTCTATCGCGCATGCGACTTATGAACTCGCTTAACTGGAAAAAAAAATGCGCGTTAGATTCGAGTAATTACGGTAATCACATTATGCAAGCGCCTCTGGCTGAATGAGTGAGGCCCTCTTCTTTGGAGGATAGAGACCCCGGGTTTGAAAATGCAGCTGTGGCAATTGAATTCATTCCATTTTATACATCTGTGTATTTGTACCAATTCATGTTATGTAACAAAAGAGCCGTCGCACATTTTTGTGTTTGGGCCAGCAATGGAAATGTTTGTGCAATAAAATGGGCAGTGATTGTGTATGTTAATACAGTGTAGTGAAGTCCTATCAACACAAGGAAAAAAATCAATTTGAACAGTTTATATTGAAGATACAAAATGCAAGCTACAAAAAGTATGAAAATGACCATACTCTATGACATACCTAAAACAGGTTCATGTGGCTCATAGAAATGCCTCTTCGAATAAGACGGACAGACGAGTGTCACTTAACGCCACAATTCAAAGCAGCATCAAAATTGCCCAGCAGCTTTTGCTGACCTCTCTTTGTATAAACTTCTGTAAAATAGTTCTGTAAATGGAAAGAAGATGTGATGTAATCATGGAGATGTGTTCACTGTTATTAAGGCTATTGCACTGGAGTAACAAGCTTTGAGCTTAATTAATATAATAAAAGTGCACTCCTGCAGCTGCATTATCTATTTTTAGATGAGATCACAGGGGAATTCATGATATGAAAACTTGTATCTTGATGTCAACCAGAACAAAAAGTTTTGGTACATCCTGCTGTCATCAGCAAGCTTAATGTGAACACTCTAATGCGTATCCGGACTACTTTGACTGATGTCAGCTGTAGAGCGCTGGGTGCTGTTGCCGAGATGTTACTTTGGTATGCTTGGATGATATGTCGGCATGCATCGGTAACATGTCGACTTCAGGTTCAAATCTTCGCTGTGCTAATGTCAATGGAACAGTTTTAGGACATGCTGCGATGCATTCATGCTAAGCTTGCTGACAACTGTACATCCACATTCAAACCAGGTACAAAGGTCGCAGGAAAATTAAGGCTCGTATTGATAAGACTAGACATAGGCAAGGCCTCAGCATTCACTAAACATTTAGTAAAGGTTGCGTCTTTGTCAGCAATTTTTTGTTTGGTGGGTTGTGTGAATGTCGTTGGTTTGAAGCAAATCATATCAAATTATTTTAAAGTGAATCTGAATTGAATAGTAGCTTATTTTGAATAGTAGTAGGGTGAAAGATAGGTGTTGAAATATCTTGTTTTAAATGTTTCCTGGCTTAAACAACAGAAGCTCTTATAACAGGCTCTTCAATCTAAAGAGAAAAAAAAGATGAATTTGGGGTGCCGGTAATATGCACACTTTACCATTAAGTGTGACTTAGCGGCAGTGCAGATTCTGAATATTCTTTTTGAAAATGTAGTTTCACTGCGTAGGTCTTATCATGTCGCAGGGAAACAGTGTTTTAGGTGGGTTACATTCAGGAAATTGTAAGTTTGTGGCTTGGATACTGTAATATTCATTTGAATATTCAAACCACTTGAATATTTGCACTGGCTTGATTTTATGCCCACTTCTAATTACTGTATATGCACAAGCGTTCATTATATTGTCATGCTGGTTTGCTGTACTCTGTTCTGTAAAGCTGTAGTGCTTGAAGATAAAGTAAATAAGTAAGAAAACGCTGGAATAGGTTAGGATATTATAATAGTTATTTACTTTTAATGATAATATTGGAGCTTTCGTGCCCCAAAACCAAGATATGGTCATGAGATACTGTAGTGGAGGGCTCTGAGAATTTTGACGTGTTGGTGTTCTTTGACACACAGTACACGGGCCTCTGCCATTTTGCTTCCGTTGAAATGTGACTGCCACGGCTGGGATCAAACCTATGACCTTCGTGTCAGCAGCTAAGCACTCTAACCACTGCTCCACCGCAGCGGACAGTTATTTACTTGTAAAGGGTGTGTTAGAAACACTCAACCACCAATAGAAGTTGTCTTTGCTAGCATCTACACAGTATTTCAATGTTTCCAGAAGGTTGCCCCCTTCTGTTCATTTTTATATGGGGTACAATGTTTGTGCATTCAAAAAGGGCTATTTCAACAAAATTTGTGTGGTGATACTCACTTGTATAGGTTGTCTCAGTGCTTTGTTTGGCCTTTTGTTCATGTTGCAGGTCAGAGAACCTAATTGTGCCAGCTGTTGAACCTGATGATGACAGTGGAAGCATACAAAGCTTTGGCAGTATCACCATCAGCTATGAACCAGACCTTTCAAGGTTAGTCTCTTCTTGTGGTTTCTGCACTTTTGCCTCGAGCGAACTGGTTTTAGAGCTATGTGGCTTTCTTCTTTGCCCATATGAACAGACGCTCTTAGTTGCTCGTGGCAGATGATTCATTTCAATCGTGAGGCATGATTTTATGAATAAGGTGGTTATAACTTGCTTGGAAAGGTTATATGGTTGGCTAGAAAAAAATAATTCAGTAATTAGCTTTTAAGGGACTAGTGAAAGTCAATTAACCTCAAGATTTTTGTTATTTGATGGTCTTGCATATGCATATGCTGGCACTTCTGGCTGATTATTAGTGGCGAACATTGCCTTTGAAAAATTTTATTTGGTTTTAAAGTTAGTGTGAATGTTTATCTGAGTTGGTAACACCCTCGAGACATCATCACTAATATGACATGGGCGGGCCTGCGTCATAACAAGATACAAATAGATTTGTGGGGCATGTGTAATACCCTGACCGACAGCCTGTGGGGGGCTGTTATTCCTTATCTCTGTTGTTCTATTGCTGGGCTGCTCTCAAGCTGGTTCAATGCTTTTTTTTTTTTTTTTTTGCTGATGTGACACACTTTTGACAGTATTGTGAAGTGCTTAATAGTTGTAATTTATACTGAAGCTCTCACGTAGTATCATTGGTTACGATGCACAGTGTCCTGATTTGAAAACTGCTTTCAATGTCAATAAAAGTTGAGCACATATGACCTTAGTTCATGCATGGTAGTGTGTTAGTTTCTTATGATTTTAGACAGGCATTTTAAAGTTAATGTAAATTAAAGATGCTAGCAATAGTTAATGATGCTAGTCAATTCGTTATTTTATATTTATTATTTACAGATACTGCAGTCCCCATAGGGAATGTTTACGTGGTGAAAATACATCGTCATGGTAAAAAAGAAATCTAGGCAGCAAAACAACAAAGGGTAGCAAACATTGCTTCCAAAAAAATACAATACAGATAAATACAGAGCATGCATACGGACCATCAACTACGTAAAGATGGCAGAAAAATACATAATTTAACGAGATCATGTTGCAGATTTGCAGATCAGAAAGTAATTAACTTATATTTGCAGCAAATGAAGACAGTGACGGTTGAGCAACTTGAGTGTTTGTCAGGTTATTCCATTCAGTCATAGTCCTTAGAAAAAAGGAATATTTGAAACAATTATTTTTTACCGTGGATGGAGTTAATGTTAGGTGATGCCTTTGTTTTGTCGCATACCAAAAGAAAAGTAATGATGTCAGGAACAATAGTATAATAATGTTTATTTATAAGTTGAAATAAGAATCTTAATCCTGTAGCACGATTGCTTCCCGTAAACGCGTGCAAATTGGCTTGTGTTACGAGTTCTGTTGCAGAGGTACGGGAGTAGTTATTGTAGATGAAGCAGACTACCTTCCGTTGCACCCGTTCAAGTCTTTTTAAGTTAGTTTGAGTAAGGGAGTCCCAAATAATTGCGGTGCAATCAAGTACTGGAATGTATAACTGTTTTGTATGCTAACAAGTGAACGGAAGGTGCTGACAGTTTTCAGTGCCCTCCTAAGAAAAAACAATCTACGGTAGGCATTAGCGGTCACCTTTTCAATGTGTCTATTCCATTTTAGAGTGTTTGTTATGTGCAGGCCAAGGTATCTATATTTTGTTATCTCAGAGAGGAAAATATTGTTAGCCGAGTAATTGAAACTGAGCTTGTCTTTTTGTTAGTAATGCACATGAAAACAGTTTTCTAGGAATTAACCGACATTTTTCAATCTCTGCACCAGGCGACAATTCGCTGAAACGCATCATTTATTAACAGTTTATCAGGAATGACTATCGATTTCAGAGTATAGGACACAGTCATTGGCACATAATTTAATCTTAACGAGTAGGTCACTTGTTATATTATTTATATAGAGCAAGAAGAGGGCCTGGAACCGAACCTTGGGGAACACCAAAGTCAACGGAAAGTTTGTCAGAGTCATGACTTTTAAAGATAACGAATCGACTATGCCCACTAAGGTAGTCAGAAATCCAATTAATCAGCTGCAGACTATTAAGAATTATGTTTAACTAATGCAGCAGTTTTTGATGAGACACTTTATCGAAAGCTTTAGACAAATCCTCGAATATGGCGTCTGTCTGTTTCCCGTTGTTTATATTGTTTGCGAAGTCATGTAGAGTTTGTACCAATTGTGTTATTGTGGAATAGCGTTTACAGATCCATGCTCATGGATTGTTAGAAATTCGTTTCTCGAGGAATTCCTAAATGTTTTTTGTGAATGAGGTGTTCCGGGATTTTGCATGCAGTTAAAGTTGATGAAATAGGGTGGTACTTTTTTATGTGCTGCTTATTCCAGTTTTTTTGGAGCGGCTTGACTCTGGCAGTCTTCCATTCGCCCGGCATTTGGCCAAATTCCAAAAATTTCATAAACAACGCCTTTAAATATTTGGATACCCATTCTGCATAATGTTTAAGAAAACAATTTGGAAACTCATCTGGGGCTAGAAGATTTTCTTATATCTAGATTGAGTAACATATTAAAAACATCCGATTCAGTAATCTCATTGTCAGGTATAGGAGGCAGGGCGACGTCGTGAAATGGTAAAATGCCATTATCTCTAGTAAAGACAGATTTGGAATGTACATTAAATAGGATTGCAATTTCTTTGGTTTCATGATTCAATGCACCATTTACATCAAACACATCACACTCCTAAGACTTGGGGCTAACACTTCCCCAAAATTTCTCTGGGGTTGACTTGATGTAACTTGGTAATAAGTCGCCATAATAGCGCTGCCTGTCCCTACTGTCTTGATTTTAAAGTTTTACCGTTAGTTCATGGACTTCGATGTCCATGAAATATGCAATACATAACAGCGTTTTCATTAAATTTTGGTATTACCTAGCATATATCTACGAATTACAGTAAAAAAAATTTCTGTGAGATAACATATTTCCCTCTCGGGTATCCTTGCAGTTTCTGCTCTGCAACATGCAAGAATGAGTGGTTCCCCTCTACATTTCTAGTGCGACAGTGCAGTTGTTTAATTTTCAAAACTTTGTTATTTACTTTGTGCAGTCCTACGCTGCCAACATTCGTACAGGTCTTTGCAATCCTTGAAAACCCTTGAATTTGAAAAATGTGTTTTCGAGGCTCTTGAAAGTTTTGGAATTTGTTGCCATCCTTGAATTTCATGAGCAGTGCACTCTCATATCGGCATCACGACCTCCTAAATGTGGTAGATCGGTGTGTCAACCTGTCAAACTTCGCACTTACGAAGCAGTAATGCAGCGGGGGCGTACATGGTCCTATTTTGCAAAAAGTGCATATAAAAAAAAGTTAGTTTTGTGGCAATGGTGAAGCAGTGAATGTGATAGCAAGGAATTAAAATGTCACACGAAGAAAGGCAAGCAAGTCCATACATGCAAGGCACCACTCAAGCACAAAAGATGCACTAAAAGAAAGCACGCAGTATGAGTGCTGACAAACAACTGTCACAGCTTGACACTGAAAGCATGCTGCTGAAGGAGGGATGTGGCAATGAAAACTGGGAAAATAAAGGGATGAAATTCGGCATGCAGATGTCGTTTTCTGAGCTGGTATGATGACGGGAAACAGTTTTGAGCGATATAATGTAATTTTTGGTGACACTTCTGGATATACTCTCATGGTCATACCAAAATTAATTAATTAATTAGACATAAGTTCATGAAAATCCCTCCATACACATATTCACAAAAGTTCATTCTGTGCCATAATGCTATTGGTTTACTTTTTGTAATTAAGTAACATGCAAAAATAATTTTTGAGTTGTCCTGGGCATATTGTTTTACTAACAACTTTTACAAAAGCCAAATATAAAATTGTGTATAATGTGCACACAGAGATGACTAACTTTACGACATTTACTAATGTCTCAGGACCTAAGTGCAGAAAGCGGAAAGGCTATATCTTCATTTGTTGCGAAATGGCACTGGGATGACTGACAGTAACTGCTCAAAAATGAAGAACACTGAGAAAATGGAGCCTCAAGAAAGCGGAGCTAGAAGCCAAAAAAATGAAACTTGGGAGGGCGCTGGCTTTATTTTTATTGGAGAAATGCAGCTTTGAGGCTATTTTGAGCCCCGTTCGGTCCTCTTTACAATAATGCCAATATGGGGAACTATGCCAAGGGAAAGCAGCAGATTTACATTTTCTAAAGCCCAATCTTCACACAGCTTTTGATGACAGCTCACCAGTAAAATGCTTCGTTCACCACCAAGGCCCACCTTCCGCCAGGGGCCACCGCCGGCGCTAACACTCTACCAACAGTGGTACCAAAGCGAACACAACGCCATCTATCGCACGGCGGTGGTCACCACCGGAACAAAGCCTTGGGGCGAGACAACCTGCGCCACGCGGCGCAGACAACTTTACAGGGGGGGTGTCAGCACCCCCACAAGACATATTTGGAATGTACATTTAAATAGGATTGCAATTTTCTTTGGTTTCATGATTCAATGCACCATTTACATCAAACACATCACACTCTAAGACTTGGGGCTAACACTTCCCCAAAATTCTCTGGGGTTGATCTTGATGTAACTTGGTATAAGTCGCCATATAGCGCTGCCTGTCCCTACTGTTCTTGATTTTTAAAGTTTTACCGTTAGTTATGGACTTCGATGTCCATGAAATATGCAATACATAACAGCGTTTTCATTTAAATTTTGGTATTACCTAGCATAGATCTACGAATTACAGTAAAAAAAATTTCTTTGAGATAACATATTTCCCTCTCAGGTATCCTTGAAGTTTCTGCTCTGCAACATGGAAGAATGAGTGGTTCTCCTCTACATTTCTAGTGCGACAGTGCAGTTGTTTGATTTTCAAAACTTTGTTATTACTTTGTGCAGGCCTACGCTGCCAAGATTCGTACAGGTCTTTGCAATCCTTGAAAACCCTTGAAATTGAAAAATGTGTTTTCGAGGCTCTTGAAAGTTCTGGAATTTGTTGCCGTCCTTGA